ACTCACGACATGTCCAAAGTGGATCTTGGTGAAGGTGAAGGTCTTGAGCTCGGAGCTCGACTGCCTGACGGCCGTCTGGATGTTTTCCCGCAGGAGCTTCTCCATGAACATCCCAAAGAAAGGCCAGGCCTGCTCCAACACCTTCCGCGCCGCGCCGCGCCGGACCAGATCAGGAAATGCATGCAAAAAAAAAAAACAAACAAACAAAAAAAACACAAAGACGACAAGCCACGGTTTCAAATGATCCTCAAGCGGTACTTGAGGCCAAACTCGCCAGTCGCCGACGCTGGTTCGGAAGGAAGAACAAAGCTCAAGGTGTGCTTTTAAGACCCTACCTTGTTAACCCATTCAACTTTCTCCACGTCAGCAAATTGGATCTTTTGGAAGGCAGGGGGAGAAAAAAAAAAAAAAAACACAGTTAATGTCCAAAGTGTTGTTCCCCCCCCCCGCACAACGCAAATCACTGAACTTGACAGAAGCATGCAGAAAGAAATCATGGGATAAGGATTTCATTTGCAATCCGCCATCATTACCATTTGAAAATGGGAAATATGAATTACATCTTCGGTGAGTTTCCAACATCCATTGCCGCACGCTCAAGCAGCGCCTATTGGTGGAGCTGTCGTGGTGCAAGTGCAGCCACACTTCGAGTTCGGAGGTTCAGCCCAAGTCAGGTATGCGATGCGAATACATTGCTTGCTTCAAAACAGCCGCATACGTTTGATTTTATCCTTCAACTGAAGCAATTCGCAACGATCGCGCGGTGGCACTTCATCCAATTTCACCTCAATTGTTTTCATCCATTTTGCAATAGGTCTTGCGTTATAGATGGCAGAAGGTCTACTGAGACATTTTTTTGTTTGGTGACGCGCGATGAGGTGTCAAATGTGCACCTTGGAGAAGACGAAATAATATGCGTGTGCTTCAGAAACGAAAACGGCCGCCTATACCCCTTCGGAATACTTCCGCTGCAGTTTCCAGCTAAAAGACGAGGAGAAGTAACTTTGTTTTTGTTTGTTTCTTTGGGTTTTTTTTTTTTGGCGCTTTGGACGTACCCACGATGCCATCTGCAAGGAGGTCTTCAGCTCCGTGCTCACCACTTGCTTCTCGTTGTCCACAAAGTCAATTGCGCTCCCGATGCGGGAGTCCTTCCACTGGCGATTCTTCTTCCACCAGGTGACCATGAGCATGCACAGCAGCAGCCAGCTGATGCTCAGGCCCAGGTAGCCCGTCAGGTAGACCGGGTAGAAGAGCACCACGCCGCGGAGGAAGTACACGAAGAACTCGGTCAGGATGCGGTTGACGCTGGACGCGCTCAGCTTCTCCGAACCGTCGCCGCCGACTTCGAGTCCCTCGACCGGGCTCGCGGGGAGGCTCGGGGAAGCCATCCCGCGCTGGTCCGAAAGCCCGCCGGGCTCCGAGGTTCTGGGAGGCGTCAAAGTTCCGCCGTCGGGCGTCAGAACCAAAGAGGACGCCATTGACGAAGCGGAGTAGTGGACCCAGACGCTTCCGCACTCGGGGAACCGCGAGGGATGGGCGGAGACGCACCTGAGCCCGTTTGGGTGGGGCCGGGCCAGAACAACTCAGTGTGGACACGCTTTGAACTCACCGCACTTCTACGCATTGGTCTAATCCGTGTCACGTGTTTAATGGACGCCATCTTGATTTTAACGTTACGGAGAATCCTATTCTATTTCTGAAATATGATTGGCTACTGCCTCCACTTTTCTACAACATGATTGGATGCTGCACCCGGGTTGTCCACGCCCCACTGCCGACAGCAAAGGCAGCACCTGCCTTCAGTGTGGCAGCGTTATGACATCCATCAAGACTAAATCAACATTTTTGGGGGGGGGGGTAAAAATGTGACGCATATTTGAAAGGGTGCCAAATATTTGTAAAACTATTTAAATGTACGTGAAACCCCTCATATTGTTTTATTTTTTATTGTCGTCATTGTACACTAGTTTGTTAAATATTTCATGTTTCCAATATTCATTTCCAGTATATGGTATGCTGTGTTTTTTTTAATCTACCTCATCGTTCCGCGGTACAGCAAACAAGTGGATCGCAGCGAGATGTGTGCTGCCTGTCCGGTCAGATTCTTCTGCTAAACTGATTTTTTTTCCCCCGACAAAAGCACACGCCGTTGAATTTCTTTAAAACGATTGTTTCGAGCCAAAGCGTGTCACTTCCTGTTCAATATCAACCACGGGATCTTGAGGCTTTTTCATGCATCATGTAACGAGAGACCTATTTTTGACAGTCGGTGTTTTTGTTTCCAACTTTCTCGAGGATGCACACACATAAGTGAATATTGCTGAGTTTTGAGGCTTGTTGAGGCCTCCCAAAAGACAATTTGTACATCAGTCCTTCAGTTGTGAAATAAACTTGCGAAGCTGAGTAAAACCACTTGGGACACATTTGTTTTTTTTTAATATTTTATTTAAAAAACAACCACAAAACTATCATTACAAAAAAGGTATAAAACGTACAAAAAGCGTCCTTCTAAAAAAAATACACTGAGATGATGTTTTTGAGCCGGCACAAAATGGCACTGAGTGGGTGTACTTCACATACCCAAAAATAAAAAGGCATTGGCTTCACATTGATATGATTGCGAGGTTTACAACCAGTCATTCAACAACATCGACATGACTATCCCTTGTTTTTTTTAACAAACAAATGTGGGCTGTGTATACCGATTTTATAAAAAGGAAGAAGCAAAAAATTTAAATTGTACCAAAAGAAATGGTCAAAATGTGCCCCATCCCACAGATTCAATCAGGCATTGGGGGAGCTAAGACAGCAGTGATTTATATTTACATATAAAAAAATGCGCCTTTTTTTTTTTTTTTACAAGACCATCGAAAAAAATAAAGAACAATATTAAGAGTTCCGCATTTTTCAAGCATTACCCAGGTTTGTTTTTGTCTTTGGGCGGAGGCACCTCCAGAACGTTTGCAAAGCTGGTGCAACATTGCCAAGAAAACAACAACAGTATCAAAACACACTTGAGAGCCTTGGTGTGACGCAACCATTGGTCCAGTACCTTCCTTTTTCAGCGCGGTGCCTCATCCATTAAACTTTGCTCACCATTCACACTATTCCTGGTTTTTCTCATACACACCCCCACCAAAAAAAAAAAAAAAAAAAAAAAAGGGGAATTCCATTTCTAAAGCTGAG